TGTATATTTCAAACATAGCGAGTAACATGCATCACAATGTACTAACTAAAGAATTGGAGATTTTCATTCACTTCATTTAAGGAAAAAAAGATATTTCTACCGACAATAGGTTGCGAGAATGAAAATAATCCAAAGTTTTAGATGATATATTCATGACTTCGACAACGTTAGAAATAAGATAGCTATAACAAAAAAATGTCCAGATAGTTGAATTTTACAGTTCTCAACACCACCAACTTCAAAAATTAAGTTTTTAATCTAGCTCAGCTAAAACTGAATTTGAAATTATGTTTTACAAAAAACAATGAATCAATCTCCAGAAAAAAAAACGATTTCATTCGAACCCAACGTTTCGACTTACGCCTTTCTCAAGGTTACAGTATCGCATAGAAATACAAACTGATAATCGAAAAGAATACAAGTAAAACTATGCGACAGAAAATAGCAAGATATCGAACAGAAACAAAACAACAGTAATAATTACAAAGGCCAAGAAATATTTCTGCTTATTTTAAGGTTATACGATTGAATCAGGAGAGACTCTATGAATTTACTCTCAAGGAAACTACTACATTTTTTTCTAAGAGCTTAATATTGAATGGTGTTTTATTTGCTATACCATGTTTCATTAGAAAGTGTTCAGCAGTAGCCTCTTTATAATCCACATTCAAAGTGGCATGGATGTATTCCTTAAAATGTTCATGAACTGGACAACTAGGTTCACCAATGTGTTTATCATAACACTTGGTACATGTCATCTATTATAATAATATTCAGTTTTTGTCTATTCTGAATAAGTGCACACGCCTTACTACCTAAAAGCGTATGCGCGCGCACTTTATTTCAAAAGATGTAAACAAAAGATGGATTTACGTAAATATACTTTAATAGACATTTGTACACATAATAAAAAGCTTATCAAAGTTTTCAAAAAGGTCTAACGTTAGGTTGTAGAATAAGTCTCGAACTAATTCTTTAATCACTACAGTTTTACTAAAAACTACGCAGAACTATGAAATGTTATCGGGAACAATAGTGCGTGTGCACTCTGAATGAGATTTAAAT